CTTTGCTCCTAGCTCCTTGTTGCACATTACCCTACCAAAGCTATTGGAGTAACCTCTCTAATTACAGATAAAATGAACTTTTGTGGAAAGGATGCAAATTAGCTTTGGCTTAAAAAAAAAGACTAGTAAGTTAATTGTTGAGTGTTCCTCATTACAGCAGTGGAAAACACCACAGGGTAATGAACTTAGAGAGGGGCGCCGTTGAGGATGAATGTTGGGACGTGCATTGCAGCGCAACTAAAAATTCTAATATAAACTTTGTGTAGCGTCTGACAGAAATGTGAGACTGAAGGAGATAAAGGAAATACTTCAGGCAATCTGTAAGAGTTCTCTTGCAGATTGAGGGCAAAACTTACTGAGATACCTATTGTGTAAAGGGGGAGATTGGTTCTACAATGTATTTACGTTTATTCAGGCCCAAAGAGCCCCTGGATAGAATTTTATCGACGTTTAGTTGAATACAAGTTAAAGGTGAGTTAAGTGTCTACAGGATCTAAAGTGCACTAGCCAAGTAAAGTGTCGCCAAACTTTACTAAAGCAATAGTGGCTTACTGCTTTTATAAAACAGTGGCCCACATAATGCAAAAACCTTCGCTTTTTAGGTACTTTCTGGTTTCCAAATTACCACCATGAGTCTTATTTAGCACCAATCCAGCGGCACCCCTCTTGTGCTGGGGCTGAATCCCAAATGGTTCTCTGTTCCCTACATAGTGCACTACGTAGGAATTTAAATGCTGGATCCTGCAGTCCAACAGAGCAAAATATAGCTAAGAAATAGGTATTTGGGACACACTTGGGACTTTCCTAGTTAACGCACTATTTAGGGAGTATGGTTTGGGATTCAGTCTGGGTTTGAAGCAACTTCTGACCGAAACACGGAAATTTGAAGCATGTAAGACATTCAGGTGACATTTTTTTAGATTTTTACACTGCCATTTACAGTGAATCATACATGAGTACTTTAATTCAATCCTGTGATATTAATGATGGAGTTGTTTTGGCTGTTATCTCTCTTTTAGCCTGTTAGCTAACTGACCAGCCTAGTTCTAATTAAGGACGTAAGTTTTCAGCCTCTCAGTTTAACCAAAAACGGGTTCTTGCTTCATCAATATAGTCGGTGGTCCATATTAGCAGCATTACAGTCAAAGATTATTCCATTAACAGCAGAAGGGTTGTTTGTGCCGTGGTGCAGTGATACAGAGTTCGGTTGTTGTGAGGCGGTCATAGGTGTGGTATATCAAGGATTTTACAACAGCTTCGAACGCGGCTAAGCCAATCAGATTTTAGGACCGGAACTATCTGTTTTCAGATTCATATCGGTATTGGCAGATAATTGCTTTTAATCATACAGGTTTAGACTTGACTAATATTTGAGGATATATCTATTATGTTTTTCATACATTAAAAATCTAGTTAACTCTTCAAGGCTGACACAAAAATGAAACTGATGGTTCTTTACAGTTTCTGTAAATGAGGGTGAAGCACCTTAAAAATGTAAAGCACTGTGTAATATTATTTTGTTATTGTCCTTACTGAGCGAGGAGAGTGAAAAACACGCTAAAATATGGTGAGCATGCTCTGCTGCGAGTCGCCCTGTAAAGCCCGAAATAATAATTTAAATGTCAGATGCATCAGATTGGGAGATTTTCACACCACATCATACACCTTTACATATTAGTCACACAGACGGACTCAAAGAGAAGGTGTTTGGGTCTCACATGGTCTCAGAATCAACATTATACTGAAACAACAATAGTAGATAGTTCACTCACATCCTCAGAAGACGCGTCCTTCATTATCCCGAATTATCTACGATTATTGTCATATTTTCATCAGTATAATGTTGATTTTGGGATCAAAACAGTTTTGACTAAGTTCTCTTTGAATTCTCTTTCAATCATCAGACTCATCCGTTCGGTGAAGGGGTCCGAAACACAACCCGCATTTCAAAAAGTTCTCCCACATGTTGCATGCAATTACACATTTCCACCAGAGAGGTCTCCAAATCCCCAAAACCTACAGAGGAAAGTTTTAATACCTATTAAAGGCTATCGATAAGACTGTATAGCCAAGCCAAGAGAATAATACTTAACTTAAGAGAGAATAATATTTCTGTTTTAAGAACTATTATTTTAATTTGGGTCATAAAGGTGTATTGTGATAAATTACATCCTTTTGTCGCACAATATGCTTTCCTGTTTTTACAAAACACTGACCCACTGCATGTTTCATTACAAAGAGAGCATAATTAGTCTTTAATTAGTTTAATTGGTTTTAGTGCCACACAACGTGTGAAACATTGAGTAAAAATGGTTTAATTTCTTAGTTTTTGACTGCATGTTTTAAATGTAGTACTACTGTGACTTTTCCTGTCTCTTCCAACGTGTTAAACCTCAGACAAACTAAACATCATGACACATACTGTGTATCGTGAAAATGTCTTGGACAGTCACTATGTTATATTTTTACCCAAGTGCTGTACATACCAGAAAGAATTACAGTAGTTTCTTGGCTGGTTCAGAAGCTCTGATGGGAATTTCCCAAGAAGAGAGTATGCAGTGGCATGTGGTGCAGTAATACAGTACAGAACAGAAGACAGTTATAGTCTGACACTTTTTGAATGCTGGCATGAAACTGTATTACTGATTCATACTGGAGATTTTTTTTTTGTACCCTAATTTGAGTAAAACCCACACCGTCACTAAAATAAACACCCGCTCTCCACCCAAACAGAGGCTTTAAGCCAGTGTGGTGGTGCTTTGAGTCCAGCTAGAAATCAAGGCTCTGGGCGAACAGATACACTTTGACACAGTGGAACCTGGTTAATTACCGAGAAATATATTGTTTGCTTTGATCCTTTCCCTCACATTCATTAATGAAGTCTACAGTTAGTGAAAATGGATTATTCATATCCCATGTTTTGTCCACACCAATTAAGCGTGCTCTCTCCCGAGCAATCAGAGCATTTCAAATTGGTGGCGTCGCTAATGCGACAAAGCGTGAGTGTGCCTCTCTCTCTCTCTCTCTCTTTCTCTCTCTCTCTCTCTCTCTCTCTCACTTTTATAGCTGAGCCTGGGGCCTTTTCATATTTACAGTTTGCAGATTCAGCAGAGCAGTTGGGATAATTAGAGCTCCTCCATGGATTAATGAAGAAGTCCTCCCGTTCCCTGTTCTCTTGAGGTCGCCAGGTCCACTCCTTGCCTTTTACTTTAAAGGACGGGACGTGTTGTTGAGGATCCCTGACCGTTTCGGAGGTGTTCTGTAGAGGAGCGCTGGGCTTCCCTTTGATGTCTATGAGCGTCTCTGAAGTCCTTATGAAAGAGCAGATTTGTCTTATTTGTCACTAGCGGAGCTCTGCCTACGAAGGTGGAATGTCTTAAGAATATATTTGCATGCATTTTACTGGTGGGTTGTAGCAAATAGTAAAATCTCCAGAGACCACAGGAGCGCTGCTTACGCTGAGATGTGAACAGGTTTATATTTTAGGTGTCTTGTTGTCTCGCCAGGCCTGATGTGAACTCAGAAGAGGCACATCTGGGACTAACCATGAATTAAATGGGCTAAATGTTGGTGGGAACTTTCGCTACTTTCAAGTGGTGTTGGTTTAACCAGAAAAATGAGTTTCCTATAAGGAGGCACCACGTGAACGTCCTTCAAAGTTGGGTACATTGAAATTTTTGATGCAGCCTGAATTGGCCGAGTCATAACGAATGTCTTGGACTAACATGAGCTAAATAAACTAAATGTTGGTGGGAACTTTTGCTCCTTTCAGGTGGTGTTGTTTTTATTGGAAAAATGAGTTTCCCATCAGGAGGCACCATATAAACGTCCTTCAAAGTTGGGTATATTGAAATTTGCGATGCAGCGTGAATTGGCCGAGTTGTGACATCAGTGTTGTTTCATGGATAGAAACAAACAAACTATGAAAATCAACTCTATACATATAATCAATTGCAATGGTATAGTAGATTTAAACATATACAGTCATCCTGCATTTTTTCCTGCTTCATATGAGTTTAAAATATGCCAAAATGATACCAGCTAAATTTTATCTTAAATAAAATTTCATAACCTTGATGTTCTGTTTATCATTCACAATAACCTACATAAACACACTTCGAGTGAACGAGTTCCTCCATGGAGAAAACTATCGCCTCGCCTGCACTTCAAAGCAGCATTAAAACTTAGTGGGAACAAACCAATCCAGTGCCTCAGAGTAGGGGGCGCTGGTGCACTTGTCAAGATTGTCAGATGAACAAACCTTTTAGCTCATGGTTGTAGCGTAGGTTAGCATGGCTGAAATGAGACTGGGCTATTGTTGCTGAAATCTCTTTGTTACAGTTGCATGGTATTTTTACACCATAGCTGTCGTTAACATACACTGTCACTCTAAAATCATTTCCCATTTTTGTTATTTTTGTTATTATAGTCACGTATTGACTTATGCAGTAAAGATTTACATAATATAAATCACAGAAATCAAAGGGTATTTTTTATTCTGGTATTTCATTTGATACTTTTGGAACAATCAGAAGTTATTAAGGGTTAAATACTATACTTTAGTTAGAGTTGAACTGATTATATTATTTATAATATCACTCAATGCAAATTATCTGTATACATTTAAATGCTGTCACTGTCAGAACAAAACCTTGCATCTCTAAAATGGTAACTTTGCAGGAGATGGAAAAAAAGTGTTATTCCGTGTAATTGTGAACCATTTCTGTTGGTCCCTTCATCATGAAACATTCACACAAAGTAAAGAGCAGCTGCTGTTGTGAAATGGTGTTTAAAAACAAAACAAAAAAAGACAAAATTGGAGGTTTAGGTCCAATGTTGTGCTTTTTTTGGTCCAAAGTCGCATCATTTTAGCATTAATATTGTAATCATTTTGAATCGCACAACATTTTATATCACAGAATTACAGAATTACATTTACAACAAATTAGTTTTTAGTGCTTTTTGATCTGTAGCTATGTGTTGTCTGGTCTGTCTTTCAGGATCACTCTTCTGGACAGTGGGAGTCTGAGGATCTCCAATGCCAGTAAATCAGATGCCGGCGTCTACACCTGTATGGCGCAAAACCAGTTTGGTGTAGCGAGCAGCTCCGGGACCCTAATGGTGAAAGGTAGGAGGCTTTTGTGCTGACCGTCTGCAGATACGTGTCTGAGTTTTTTAAAAGGACCAAACATTTAAATTGAATTTAACTGAAGAATAACCAACTAACATAGACGGAGCACCTTACAATTTGATGTTACAGAGGTAGGCGGATGTCGTGTTAGGAGTCTTGCGCAAGGACTCTTATTGGTGTGGTGTAGCATGCTCACCCAGGCAGGGAATTGAACCCCAGTGCATGGAGAGCAGTCGTGTTATCCACTACACTAGTGGATAAATTCCTCCCAAGGCAACTGTATTGAGTAGTTTCTTGAGAATTGTATCTTGAGTAGTTTGCTTTGGTCAGATATTTTTCTTCTAAGCCGCTTATCCTTCTGGGTCGTGGGAGGGAGCTGGAGCCTATCCCAGCGGTCATTGAGTGGAAGGCAGGATACACCCTGGACGGGTCACCAGTCCATCGCAGGGTGGTCAAATATTGTTTTTTTTAATACTACGAATAGAATGAATCACAATTTCTTACCGAAACAAACTTGTTTACGCAAGTACATGTGATATTCTCCTCTGGCTTCACCGACTTACAGTGTGAATGGCTGAGACAGTGTTCACAAGCTGACTTTGAGCATAAATGAGGAAACAAAATTTACGAACAACTGAGGCACTGCAGATCATGAAGAGCTCTCAATTTTGGTTTTAATTTCATTTTATCAGAATTTGACAAGCCAACGCTCTACATGTGAATGTTCTGTGGTGCAGCTAACAGTAACATAAAGCTTTTACTCCTAGAAGGTAGTGCAGTTTGCCAGTTAGCTAAACGTGCAGCTCATCTTAATACACACAGTTTTTTTAATTGTATCAAAAAACCCAATGAATTGTGAATCAGATCAATCCAGTCAGCTCAAAGATTCACATCTCTACACTATAGCGAACACTGAACTTTCATAGATTCCCATATTACTGGGAAAAAGGTAAAGTCTTTAAATCAATAAAGATAAAACACAATATGGCATCAGGCCATCTGAGCCAGGGGATGGCAACATGTAGCTCCTCTTTTACTGCCCTGTTGTGGCTCCACAGCTGAATTAGATTAGTAGGTAAAAATAAAATAATCCTCCTTTACAGTAAAATAAAGCTCTGCTGATCGTTCAACACAGTTTAACAATAAATGGTCTTAAACTCTGGAGTTAATGTAGAACTGCTAATTCACCCTTTAACCCTGAAGGTCGGCACACAGACTGCTGGTCACCATAACAACGCTGACAAGAATTTCGCCTAGCTAGTAGCTAACGAAAAGGCAAAGAGAGAGATTTAAGATGAACATCGATGATTTGGTGACAAACTGATTTATTTGCATTTATAATCACTCCAGCTGGTTTCCTGATACGTTTAACCTGCAACGAGAAACTGTCAAACACTAAAAATCACAAAGCTGAAGTCAGTTTCTCATTCGCCAGCCTCTTATTTGAATTTTCCCGTTCCACCTTATATGGTGACTGATGCTCTATGTAATTGATGCACCATTTAAGGTGGAACGGGAAAATTCGAACAAGAAGTTGGCGAATGAGAAGCGACTTCAGCCTCATAAAAAATCTAATGTTGAGAGACATTTTACAAGAAACTATTTGGCTTTTGAGAAAAAGTTTCCTGCCGGAGATGCAAGAAATGCAGCTATAGCTGAGCTAAAGCTTAAAGGAGAGCAAAGTGAGTCTCTGTTTTCACTTATTTTTTTAGCCTGAACTAGAACATCAGCACATACTGAGACATATTAACAGCCAAGATGGTAAAATAGATATAAAATGTGGCTCCCAAGGTGGCTTGATTTTTGTTGAAAGGACAAAATGGCTCTTCTTAACAAGCCATCAAGAAGGCCCTGGTTTGGGTGTAAGTATCCTTTGACTGGGTGTGCATCTTTCATATCTACTCATAATTAGTAAACCTAGATGTATGCAAAGGTTTGGGCACCCCTGGTCAATGTGTTGTTGCTTTTCTAAGTGATAACTGAACACAACCTCTACAGAGAACACACTTCTGCACACTTTAATGCACAATTAATGTTTATTGAATTCAACATGTTGGAAACATGAAATGTGGGCTGTTCAAAAGTTATGGCACATTTTATGTTTTATATTTTACTTTTTCCAACATGTTCAAGCAAATAAATATAAATTGTGCACTTAAACTTGCCACGTTTGAGTGTATTCTCTGTAGAGGTGTTAACTTATGTTCAACACAATCAACAAAACATTTGACCTTGGGTGTTCAAACTTTTGAGTACAACTGTGAGTGTTTTTATTCTTGCTACCAGCTCTGCCTTTTCTGCGTCTGTAAAACATGAATGGCTGAATGTATTCCGTCTGCTTTGCTCTCATTAGACAGAAACACAAACTCATCTGCTCTTCCTTCAGCCTGATTAGCGGTAGGCCGCTAGGAGCAAGCTCAGCAAGGCCACCGAATCTTAGCAAAGATGGGAAATGGTTTTTATTTCCTAATGAGATGAAAACGGTGCGTATTGTCACAACCGCAGCGTGGGGGGCCCTCGGGGACCCCGGATACGAGTTCTGTCATGTCGCTGCTGCAGCGAGTTATTATGCAGTATTAAATATGAATGAGGGTGCACGGTGCTGTGTGTTTTGTGAAGTGAAGGAGGAGACGCTTCAAGGATTTGCAGGAAGTTACCATTGCGATGAGGGTTGGGGGGAGGGGGCGGTTGGGGGGCGACGGTGAACCCGAAAGATTGAAATTCCTGTAGTAGTTCTTTTGTTTTCTCATCATTTACAGCCTCATTACATTTATGAAGAAAGTTCCCAAATTAAAGAAGAGTCAGGTGGGTCGGTGCACTTCAGGTCAGGACGGGGTTTCTGTCTCATTAACCTGCCGTCAAACACTTTGACCCCAAATTATTGCACGTCAAAGCAAGTGCCGCATCAAAATTCAACAAAAATTGATTCACCACTCGCATTTGGATTCGCGTCAAACATGTTGTCAGGTTATTAATGCTGGGTATGACGAGAGAGAGATGGGGAGAGTGAAACATATCGATTAACAAACAAAGAGCGATGGATCACCTCAGATTTCAGATTTGGGATCACACAGATGTCAGTTTAAGTGATTTGGCGCTGACGCCGATGTGTCGTCTCAATATCTCAGTGGAAGTGAGGCTGAAAGCGCTGACTCAGAAGAGAATGAAGTGGAACTCCTCTCTTGTCCACTTCCGTTAAACTTGGGCAAGAAAAGCTTAAATGCTGACATTCAATACAGCACAGTTTAAATTCAGTTCAATTTGTGAAGCACATTCTACACCAGACATTGTAGTAAAACAGCTTTACAGAAATTTAAAGGTGCGAATGGGAGGAAAAACTCCTTAAAAGCATGACGAAGAACCACTGACAGGAACCAAGACTCAAAGACTGCACTTTGTCACTTCATGTGTCTGAGATTTTGGCAACATGCATTTACACTTGGTAGTCAAATGCGTCTTCTGTTAGTCGATGGAAATCTGATTGCTGTGTGGGACGGAATATGTAAATCCGCTCGTTATGCCACAACCAATTACCAGTTGTTTATCTGTTCAGCCTTTTCCTGTGCCAGGCCAAAGATGGTTGCTGCTTCGAAATTTGCAATTTTGCATGCCGTCGTGAATTTCTTTAAACTTGAAGAAATCTTCTTCGTACAGAGGGATCACATGCTCAGTGACATACTGCATGGGAAGAAGTTTCGGTTGTATTGGGAGGATTTACGGTTTTACTGGGAGGAGTTTAGGTTGCACTGGGAGGAGTTTTGTTTGTACTGGGAGGAGTTTTGTTTGTACTGGGAGGAGTTTCAGAAATTTAAAGGTATCAATGGGAAGAAAAACTCCTTTCAGTTGTACTGGGAGGATTTTTGATTGTACTAGGAGGAGTTTTGTTTGTACTGGGAGGAGTTTTGTTTGTACTAGGAGGAGTTTTGTTTGTACTGGGAGGAGTTTTGTTTGTACTAGGAGGAGTTTTGGTTGTACTAGGACGAGTTTTGTTTGTACTGGGAGTTTTGTTTGTACTGGGAGGAGTTTCGGTTGTACTAGGAGGAGTTTGGGTTGTACTGGGAGGAGTTTTGGTTATACTAGGAGGAGTTCAGGTTGTACTGGAAGGAGTTTCGGTTGTACTGGGCGGAGTTTTGTTTGTACTAGGAGGAGTTTTGTTTGTACTAGGAGGAGTTCAGTTTGTACTAGGAGGAGTTTTGTTTGTACTGGGAGAGTTCAGTTGTACTAGGAGGAGTTTTGGTTGTACTGGGAGGAGTTTTGGTTGTACTGGGAGGGGTTTGGGTTCTACTAGGAGGAGTTTTGGTTGTACTAGGAGGACTTTTGTTTGTACTGGGAGGAGTTTCAGTTGTACTAGGAGGAGTTTTGGTTGTACTGGGAGGAGTTTTGTTTGTACTGGGAGGAGTTTCAGTTGTACTGGGAGGAGTTTTGATTGTACTAGGAGGAATTTCGGTTGTACTAGGAGGAGTTTCAGTTGTACTAGGAGGAGTTTTGGTTGTACTGGGAGGAGTTTCGGTTGTACTGGGAGGTGTGTTGCTTGTCGAATGTGTCTTGGAGAGACAGATGTGTTTATGCTGCTCTAATATGCCTTAAGCAAGTCTCAGTCTACCTTCTAAAATAGTTTGTCTGATCAGATTTGTGTCTGTTTTAAATGCATCTTGAGTCCTTTTACATTAGCTTTTTTATGTGGCCTCATCCAGATATAATCCTGATATAATACTCCAGATGAAAATAGCATCAAATTCTCAAAAGCTACGTTCACACAGCAGGTAAAAGTGGCCCAAACTGAGTTTCTCACTAAATCCATTTTTTCTTAGGCTGTTTACAATATCTTTTAAAAGTGACCTATATGCAACAGATCACACTTTTAAACTGACCCACATGTGCAAAAGAACAATGCTTCACATGGCTCAGTCATCCAAAGGTAAACTATTAAAATGGAGTCAACAGTAACAGCTGCTCCCAGAGGATTCTGTTTCATCTTTACCAGCATCAAAAAAACG